TTTAAAATGGTTCTTAACTCCTCTTCTGATATGTTTCAGTGATTTCAGAGGGGATGTGAAAAGGGGAATTGTACAAATGAAAAGGATATTTTTGTTTTCATGTTTAGTATTTATTTTGGTAAAATGAGTATTTTGTTTTGTTTTTGTTAAATTAAGGGGAAAAAAAGACAACTACTGTTTAACAAAGTTAAAGTAAAAATGTATTATTTCCCTAAAAGGGCTATTTCTATTATTAAGCAGGCACAACTTAACAAAATAAGAGTTCCTGTGCCTCAACACAATACCTCTCATTATTTGCTGTGTACTGGCAAAGTGAATAATTATTTTCATGCACCCCATTATTGGTTGGTTGTGAGGAGTGTTGATTTGTATAAGCTTGGCTTGACCATACTAAATGGGCATATAGCCCTGCTCCCCATCACCGCCGTGCATGGGACCGGACCTTGGTCTTATTAAAAAAAAAAAAAAAGTGGACCGACAGCATTTCTAGTTGAGGACCACTGGTGTATGTTATCACCACAGCAGGAGTGTCACAGAAGATTGACGGTCCATGAAATATCAGTCGGACCATGACAGAAAAAAGGTTGGGGACCTCTTCATCAAGGAATAAGCAGTTCCTGCCACTTCAATCCCAGAATCACATTGGCTCCAAAGAGGACGTAACCTCGCCCATGTGGGAGGACCTCCAGGGAGCGACGCAAAGGGAATGTGAGAGTTCCATTACATTCTAACCACACTCAGAGCCTTTCCAGTTTGTATGAAGTACGTTTTCTCTTGCAGGTTTTCTTTTTGATTTTATGACGTTTGTTTGTATGATTCTATATAGTGTTTTTGTCCTGTGAGGATTCTCTCTTCTCCCTGTTTTTTTCCCATGTTCCCCCTTGGACTTTAAGTGAGTTTCAGTTTGGATTGTTTCTGGAGTGGAGTCTTATTTATTGCATTTCAGGCAGTCTGAAATTGTGCAGATTTCATGCTGAGTATATTTGGGGTTTTGTTTCCGACTATGTGTTCTTTTCTGAAAGCACAGAATCCGATGGAAAATTCCACGATGATCACTTTACAAAATGTACAGAGTAATATAGTCTGTATGTGTATTTCGATCTGCTATGCCACACATTTGAACATCTTCCTCCTGCAGGATATTGCTGAGATATTTATTACAGAAATATTACTCTTACTGTAGTTCAGATTTTTAATTGGTGGATGCCAAACTTGACAAGAAATTATTTTCACCAAACTGAAATATTTTTTTCTCATTAAATTGCAACTTTAATGTACAACATAAATCCTACTATTCAAATAATACGCTTAAAAAGGCAAAAATGTTTTAGGAAGTTAAAAATCTGAGAAAAACCTTTTGAAAAAAAATAGATAAATAAATAGATGTATACATTAATAACTCTCCTTCAATTACATCTTTCTATCTTTTTTTCCGGTGAGGTCCGTTCACGTTTTCAACCTGGTTTTGAAAATCACACAATGTTCCTGGTCCCATCACGACAAACGTAGGACAGCATCATGTCTACCATGTTCTTGACAATGGCCCGAGGAGGGTGGAGGTGGTGAGGTTCATGGTGCGCCACGCACATCTGCCAGGCGTCCACCAACATAACGTCAAGACCCTTGAACATGGCGCGCAGTACGATGTCGAGCTGCAGCGAAAACCAGTCGCTGTTGTATAGGCTGACGTCGCGTTGCAGGGCCTGAGGGTTGGCCGTGCGGACCACCACCATCGTGCCCGGCGCCCGCTCCAGGAGTCGCACCACCGCCTTGCGGATATGCCGAAGGCGGCGTATGTACACCTCCACGGGGAAGGTGCTGAAGTGAGACCAGATGCTGAGCGCCACCACCGTGTTTGGACCGCCGGAGAGGCCGTCCAGCTCGTTGGCGATGTAGCGCAACTCGCTGGTCATGACGGTGGAGAAGCGGATGGGTGGGCCGTGGCAGCGGTACCTTAGCAGAATGTTGTGGGTGCTGTCCACCGCCATTAAGGGCCCCACCTTTTTGGGACTCTGAAGGTTGAATTCCTTCATCTCTGCAGAGGAAACAATTGGTCAGTAGCAATTGGGTAGTTATGTACCTTTCGCAAGAACACATTGACGTGGCACGGACGGTACGGAATGACTGCAGTATTGTCGGAAAAAAAAATAAAAAATACTGGAAAAAAAATCCAATGGCGTGTAACATTAAGTTTCCGGAACATTAAGGATAAATTCACTTAGGTTGCGTGGGGCGCTGGTGCGTATCCCAGCCGTCTTCGGGCAGTTGGTGGGGGGGGACACCCTGAACGGGTTGCCAGCCAATCGCAGGGCACACAGAGACGAACGATCATCCACACTCGCACTCACACCTAGGGACAATTTAGAGCACAGGTGTCAAAGTCAAGGCCCGGGGGGCCAGATCTGGCCCGCCACATCATTTTGTGTAGCCCGCGAAAGAAATTTGAGCACGTCAACTTCCATGATGCTTGCTGAAGTCTGAATCTGTCACGGTTCGGTTTCTGGTCTGACCAGCAGGTGGCATGTGCGGTCTTCTGTGCACACTTGCTGCCAATCCAGTCATTATGGGACTATGTATTTAAGGACTCTGCTTCAGTTCACCTGTGTCGGAGTATTGTTTATTGCCTTGCTGTTTCCATGCTCTCAGACCGCTTTTGCTATAGACATCGTCGTGTTCACGCTTTTGATACTCTCGGTAACATTGTTCTTGTAAGTATGGCTTTGTTTTGTGAATTGGCTTTTTCTTGCGTGTAATTGATACATTGTTTTTCGTTTGTATTCTCGAGACTAGTTTTCCTCACTTGCCTTTTTGTGCAAGCGCTTTTTGTTATTCGCTTTTTTGTTTTGTTCTTCGTGGTCTTTGTTTGGACCAGCGCTTTATGTTCTACTTTGTTCGGTGCGAATTTTTGTATTAAACATTTTTGTAACGGAGACCTTGTTGAAGTCTACACTTTTGGGATTCAAACTTAATTCGGCTTGTCCGAAACCTGACAGAATCAAAATTTCAAATTGTCATATACTATACAATGTAAGAATTACAATGTTTGAACAATATATTATTCTCGATGGTGCCATCTATTTGTTGTTCGCTGTATGTAATCTGTGGATTTGGTGAAACATTGATATGGTTTCACAAATTTCACAGTCATAACGGCCCTCCAAGGGAATTTGAAAGTACAATGTGGCCTGCGACAAAAATGAGTTTGACACCCCTGATTCAGAGCGTTCAATGAGCCTACCATGCATGTTTTGGGAATGTGGGAGGAAACTGGAGTACCCGAAGAAAACCCACGCAGGCCCAGGGAGCACATGCGAACTCTACACAAGGAGGCCGGAGCTGCAATTGCACCTGGTACCTCTGCACTGTGAGGTCGACATGCTAATCACTGGACCGCCGTCACTTAGGTAATTAAATACAAAATACATAATTCTCAAATGTGACACAAGTATCTATCCTGTAGAGTTCGAATCCTTTTTCCTTCTCTGTCCACCATCTAAACCAAACGGCCGCAACGCTATGAGACAGAAGCGCTCACCTGGAAGCACAGTGAGGAGGTATTCGAACCACTGGCGGACGGTGGAGTCGCCGTACAAGTAGACCACCTTGTTGGTCAAGCACTGAGTGATGGCAGACGCTTCATCAAACTGGCGCATGGTGACACCAACCAATGGCCTCCACGAGTCCTGGTAGTAGTAACCGGATGTTGCCAGCGTCACGAGATCCGATTTTTGACTGGCACTTTCTTCGGTGACGGCAGATACAATGACGTGACTAAATAGCCATTCCCGAAAAAGTGAATTATTAGTCGAAAGCTCCGCAGTACCTTTCCTGGAAGGCAGCACGGTGATGGTGTCCGTTGTGGAAGCGTGGATGGGAACTTTGACGTTCACCTCGCTGATGTAAAAAAAAGAGTTAATTTCAAAAGTTGCAACAGGAATAGGAACAATGAGACACTATGTGGATCAAGAGTTCTGCTCAGACAATTTTATGGGTGATCATTTACAACGGGACCAACCACATCCTTAACTCATTCACTCCCAAAGACGTTTTCAAATGTTTTTTCAGACTTGGTCCAGAATTGGCTGGTACTGAATGAGTTAATAATCTCAATCCTGTCCTTCTACGACACTAGAAAGTACCCCAAATGGGGCTTTATGGGCTGGGACAACATTTTTGAATCGATTGGTAGCACCACACCATACTGACCATTTACGTACATCGCCCTTCAGCTTCTCACGCATCTGTGATGTAAGCGCATTTCACCACGTTAACACGCATGCATTCAGCCCAGCGAAACTGCGGATTTGAAAAGGACAATTCTATTTGTGTTTTATCATATCAAGAACTTCTCAATGAAGTTGCACTGACATCAAACTCAATTTAGCCACCATTTTGAGAGTGAAAATTCTCACTTGTTTCCTTCTCCGCCTGCGGGAAGTACCCAAACCATGAATTGGGGTCCAAAGCTTGTTCATTTTCCAAGCAGAACATCAGATTGGGATAAAAACAATTTGAGGGTTGAATTTTCAAAATCCCTAAAGGTGATTTTGGTCTCAACAGCTTGTTTCCTTTGAAATACCTTTTGAGCAGCTCTTGTCAATCAATCAATTTGAGTTTATAGTACAAACCTCTGGAAGAGCAAAGCTTCCTTGTTGGTGATGATGTTTTTGAGGTAGCCTCCCTTGGCATGGTTGATTCTGACATCGCAGCTGAGCATTTTGGGCTTGTAACAATACCACGGCTCACCGGAGTAAGGGTCCGTGTAGTTGCAAAGCTGCCCCTGGTCCTGCGGCAGGCACATGTTGCACACTGTGGTCTCGGAAAGAAAGCCCAGGCGAAAGAGGCTGACGAAGAACACCCGATCGGGTCGTTTCTCCCTCAGCCTCTGCAACACGGCGACGGCCTCGCTCGAGTGCACCATCATGATCTCGACTTGAACCGAGCCCTCCCACAGCAGCGGGAACCGAGCGGAATAAAGTCCATTCTTGTGGTCCACCACCTGGCCGGCAACACCCGCCCTATATTTTGGGGAGTGTAACCGAGCCAGCAGAAAATCGCCACCGTACCGTTTGGGTCGGCCCTTGAAGTCATGCAGGTGGACCAGCACTTGCAGCTGGTCGCCGACATACCAACGCTCATTGTTTTGGGAGGGGACGATTGTAAACAGGCTGTGGGCCGGGTCACTTGTCTGACAGAGGGTGGGTAGTGTGGAACCAGAGGGCAGTTGGGGCCAGGCAATGAGGTCCAACAGGTCCTGCTCCTCCAACTCTTCTATGGATGATGGTGGCTGGCCCAGATGTGAACAGAAGCTGTGGTTGCGGTGAAACGTTGGCAACCTTCTCCAGCTGATTGACTGGATCCTGCTCTGGAACTTGTACAGCGCCGACATTGTGTGATACTTCCAGTTCTGAAGAGATGACATTTTGAACAACAGTGTGAATCACGGCCGGGATTTGCAACCATCGTGCCGGGGCACACAAGCGTGCAGTGAGAGATCAGCAGGTGTGTCGTGGGAAATTGGGGATGCATTGGATTCATGGTGGGTTTTTATTTTATTTTTTGCGTTTTTTTTTTTTTTTTTTTTTTTGGAAACAGTATCTCATGTTTCAAGGATAGTTTTAACAGTTATTGGAGAGGACTGCAAATCATGTTTTCATTGGGGTAGTTTAGCTACACACGTCTAAACAGTAGATAAAGGAGAACATAAAGAATCTCCTGAAGTCATTCAGTGAACTTAAATTTTTTTTAGCAGACAGTGATAATAAACAGTAGAATAAATAACAATGCTGAGCAATATATATATTTTTTTTTTTGCTGTAATGCATTATTTATAAAATCACAGTATTTGTTCCAATCTTAGCGATGCAACTGTATAATACATTTTAACCTCAGAGTTAATGATGTTCTCCCTGGATGTTATTGCTTTGTCCGACCGATGGAACGTTTGAAATCATTCATTTACATTGCGTTCATTCAACTTGCGTTATTCCTCTTGCTAAGACTTTTTTTAAGACCTGGCTTCCTTCACCATCACCGGCTGACATTTCTAATCACAACGTCACTGCTTTTTAAAAAGAAATGTCTCTATGACCACCTGTCGTAGAGACAGCATCCACTACCATGAAGTTCTTAAATATGCACTGTTTCAATTTCAGTGAGCTCAATAATTTGACATATCAGTGGAGAAATAATGAGACCTTGATAATTGTTCTTGAATAGTTCATCTTCATGGATGAGAAGGATGATTATATTTTAGCATTTAAAATACCATTTGAGTTAAAGACTGTTTACATACGAGCTTACTAACCATGAGAGACAATTTAAAAAATGGTTTTGGTCATTACCAATGCTAGGGAAACTGCGAAATTAAACACAGATTGGGTGGTTCTCCATTCTAATGCATTTGTCCAGCACTGCAGATAGCAATTGTTATGACAGCACTTATGATTGGTCATCGGTGCCTTTCACTGCTGCTTGCAGTTTTAAACATATGTATTTGTTGGAGTACGGGTATATTGTTCAGGTGACAGTATAGCGTGCAAGAAAATATTTAACTTCTCTCACCTCCCCATTGGTGATGTTTTGCAGCAAGAAGATGAGACCAAACAGGGTGATAATGATGAGGCCATATTTCAAAACATTTCCGGACTGCATGACTGCTTTGGTTGAGTTAATCCACTGTCTCTGGAGATGATGTCATCACACCACCTTGAACACACACATGGGAGAGAAAACAAAACGAAAATCTAATGTTGTCCCTCTGAAACGAATTGGCTCCACAGATCCATCCATAATTCTCCAGTAAACAAGAAGTAACCTGGTGACGAAGGAACATACTACATATGGCACAATATGAATGAAACAATATGGTACTGACTAAGTAAATGAGGCAGCACCAACCTGAAGAATAAGAATTTAGCTGCTACACGAGGGAAATTCCAAAACTCCATATTAAATACACAAGTGAACTACATAGAGTAGTCGATTGGTGAGCACATCCGCCTCACAGTGCAGAGGTCGGGGTTCGATTTGTATGTTCTCCCTAAACCTGCGGGTTTTCTCCGGGTACTCCGATTTCCTCCCAAATTCCCAAAACATGCATGGTTGGTTCATGGAACACTCTAAATTGTCTCCGGGTGTGATTATGAGTGTGACTGGTTGTTTGTCTATGTGTGCCCTATGATTGACTGGCAGCCAGTACAGGGTGTGCCTCGCCTACTCCCCCTAAGACAGGCCCCAGCACGCCCGTGACCATGGTGAGGTTCAGGAATTCAAATTATGGATGGATGGATGAATAGTTCTGTGAATAAATGAATGAAATCTCTCTCTCTCTCTCTCTCTCTCTCTCTCTCTCTCTATATA